GGCGGCGGCGGCTCGGCAGGCGGGTTCAGGCTTCGGGGGCCAGGTCGGTCGGGTGGGCGGGTGTCTCCGCAGTCAGTGCGTGCGTGGGCCAGCGCGTGCATCTTCCCCTTCCCTCCGCCCCGTCCCTCTTCCCCTTCTCCCCTAACCTCCTACCCCACCCAGCCCCCCTCCTCAGGGGGCAGCAGGGCCGCTCCCTCCGTCCTTCCGTCCCCTTCCCACCCTCACCCGCCCTTATTTCTCCTTCCCCTGCTCGGGGCAGCCGCCGCCATGATCCTGCTGGAGGTGAACAACCGCATCATCGAGGAGACGCTCGCGCTCAAGTTCGAGAACGCGGCCGCCGGGTGAGCGCGCGCCCGGGGCGAGGGTGGCGGGGGAGGCGGACTTGACCTCCGTAGTCCCCGGTGTCGTCCAGCCCCCAGCCCGGACCTGGAGGAGAGAGATGGGGGGCCTGGCGGGGTGTAGGGGCTGCCCCGGCGGGGCAGACGTGGGAGGCGATTGGGCGCGGCGGGGTGAGGGGCAGAGATGCGTGGGGAGAGGCTCAGACGAGGGATGCGGAAGCAGCGAATGGACAGGAGCGTGCTTGCAGTAGGGCAGAAGACCTGTGGGACGTGAAACTCGCCGGGGAAGCCCACTGCCCTCCGTACCCCCCGGCATTGTTCTGAACCCCGAGAGAGCCCGTTTGGAATTGGGCTGGAAGGAGTTTTCAGGAAATCCCAGGACTGGAGGAGGGAAGACGGAGCAGGCCTAGAGCTCCACCAGTACTCTCGTTTCCCACCCCCATCTCCTGTAAAAGGAGCTGGAGGGAAGACTAAAAGCAAACCCAGTCTTGCAGCCAGAAAAACGTGACCTCTCTAGTCTGCCTTCTCCGAACTCTGCTGTGACAGACCCTGACCATTCTGTTACATATTTCTCAAGCAAAGCGAGTTGTCTCTCCGTCCGCACCCTTTCCTTATCTCTCTTCTGAGATTCTAGTGCTCTTTCCCCACCCGCTAACCTTTATCTAGTTATCTTTTAAATTCTCCTACAAGATCCTTGGCCTGTGATTTCTTCTGTGGTAACCCTGGCCCAGTTACACGCTTGAACGCCTCCAGGATCTGTAAAGTTCTTAGATAACCTTGTTTAAAGTTGGCCTTTTTAAAAGATGGTCTATGGGCATATTTCCAAGGCCGCCTTCTCTGTCAAACACAAGAATCAGTAGAAAACCTCTTGCCTAGAGCTGCTTTACTTTTCTAATACAATATTTAAAACATCGGCCAAGCGTTTTAGCTTCTAATTTTTGGGTAGTCCCTTCCTTTGCCTCATTTCCCCATCGGTGTGAATGGGGCTTCAGATCTTGGTTTCACAGTTGAGGAAATATGTGCAAACTGTTTCTGGTGAGCTGGAAACTAGTAATAGGAAAGTGCTTGGAGGTCCACAGAGGGGAGAGGATTGGTGGAGGGGAAATTTTAAGTGGTCATAGTGTACATGTGGCTTGCAGGCATTAAAAAAAATAGGTACTAACCCACACCTAAATTGAATATATTGTGTGTCCTGTCTCTTTATAAGGCCACAGATTTTATCTGTAAAACAAAGCACTATGTTCCTTGAAGTAAGGTGTGCAGTGAGCAGTACTGTTTCCTGCTAGGGTTTGCAGTTGCTTATATTTTAGACTGACTAGCTTCTTTCATGTCTTCAGCCTCTCTTAACCGGTTCCTTTGCATTTTACATATTCAAGTGAATCAGCCCAAGGTTTTATTTTGGGTGATTGCAGTGTACTTTTTTTGAGCAGTGGAGCACATAGGAGGAAGTTGAATTAACTTCTGCATTTTCACAACGGATCTTAATGCATCTTCAGGTCCAGACTAGCAAAGAATCAGACCTGGGAGGTTATAAGTTGATCTACAAGATAATGGCTGTGATATTCAAGTAGAGGCATGCCTTTTAATGTAGGAGTATATTCACTTCTGTTTGTGTGTTAATAACTTGTAATGCCAAAATGTGGCCCATTATTCAGAACTTCAGCTCTTATTATTCTTTTAGAAAAGTATTCCTTTAAAAAGCAGCTAACCATTTCAGAGGGATTAAAGTAGGCCTTCCAGTCTGGAAGGCATAAGTTAGAATTTCTAGGACATTTTTTACGAAAATATGCATTTTAGCAAAGTTGGCTGGGGCGGGGAGGCAAGTTTGGGCTCGTATTCTGGCCCATCTCCTCGTCAAGATGTGACTTTCAATTAGTGGGATCAAAACATTCTGATGAAAATTGAAACCCTGAAAATCTTTTAAAAGAGACCATGATAGTATGCCTAGTAGGTAGGGCTTTCCTGGGATTACAGATATAACATCCAGCAGAAGCATAAAGCTAGTGTATGTTTTCAGGCATCACAGTAAGGTGATGCAGCAGTGAAGCAGTTAAGTATTTATCAAGGTGCATGCCCACACCAGAGCTTCCAGCAAAGTTTATATAGTGTAATAATCATAAACATTTATAGGATTCTGCCAATGCTCAGCATCAGGCAGCAGCAGGAAAAAAAGAAGCCTTTCTGAGAGCCTGTTATCCAAGTTGTGGAAGAGCTAAGGAGTGAGAGGTGTTGGATTGTAGATAAGAGAAAGACATTTAAAAAGGGAGTAGCAGCCAGGCTCAGGTGGCTCAGCCTGTAATCCCGCGCCTTTGGGAGGCTGAGGTGAGTGGATTGCCTGAGCCCGCGGGTTCGAGACCCGCCTGGGCAGCCTCATCTCTGCAATAAATCAAAAAATCAGCCGGGCGTGGTAGCGCATGCCTGTAATTCTGGCTACTTGGAAGGCTGAGGCAGAAGGATCGCCGGAGCCCAGCAGGTCGAGGCTGCAGTGGCCAGGAGCGGCCACTGCACTCCAGTCTGGGCGATCGAGTGAGACTCCGACTCCAAAAAAAAAAAAAAAGGGAGTAGCTTGAAGGAGAAATCCCAGAGATGTGAAATGCTTTGCTGGAATGGGAACCTGCTGGGAGAGGTCAGCTCCACCCTGCTCTTTACACTTCTCAGAATAAACCAATCGGGAAAACATTACAGTTCAGAGCAGCCTTTTCTAAAGTGCATCTTCCAACTCTGATGTCCAGTAAGATAGCCATACTTGTGCCTAGCTAAATTTAAATAAAAGTTAATTAAGGTGAAACAAAATTAAAAGTGAGTTTCTTAGTCACACTAGCCACATTTCTAGTGCTCAGTTGCCACATGTGGCTAGTATAGAGTACAGATGTGGAACATTTCCTTTATTGCAGAAAGTTCTGTTCCAGCTACTGAAAATGAAAGCATGAGACGGTCATAAAAATAGTTCTGTGGCATATACTTCAGGATACAATTGCATTAATTTTCCTTTTGTGGTTGATCTTTTTTAATGATTCCTCTCAGATCACTCTCCTGGATCTAATGTCTTTTAGTAGACATCCTACTAAAAGTCTGAACTTCCTTCTGGGTAAACCAGTTCCTGTCATCTAAACTGAGAATACATTTGGTCATGATAACCTTTTAATTTTGAGGCAGTTCTGGCTGAGGTTCAAATTGCTTTTTATTTTTTTCCTACCACACTTCTGGGAAGTGGCTTATTGAAACAATCTATATATCCTCACAACGTAACAATAATTGGTATCTTGTCTTCCCAACAGCCTACAAACTAAGAGAATGTTACTGATTAGAAAGCTGTATCAACACTGCAAATAACCTCATGCACAAGTCTTATCAACAGCTTTACCTCTTTTGGAAATTCTTACCCAGACCCCCAATTAAAGCAGAAGTAATCTGGCAGATTACATTAAGTATTTTGTTAGTGTGTATACTGAGAACCTTTTCAGCCTCAGAAACTATGCCTGCTAACTTAGTTCAAGTCTGGAGTCCAAAATTGAAATGCTGTTAGATGCGAATTGCTGTTGATTTTAGTGCATGCTGGCTCCTTGCCACAGCTTGTGCATATTGTAGGGAACTGTGGTTCTGTGAGGGGGAGTGAAACTCAGTAAGCAAGCAGCGCCAGTTGGGGTGGGCGAGGTTTGTGGGAAGAGAACTTTGAGAGAGGAATAAATTAAATCTTGCTGATACCTTGTTCTTATTCCTGAATATGCTGCATATGTCCTCAGAGAGACAGGCTGGTTTGAAGTGATTTGGAATTAGGACATTGTTTAAGCATTTAGAAGAAATGGGATATAGTGTCTGACTCACCAAAAAGATCTGGTTGGCCTTTTTACAGGTCATTGTAGTTAATTCCACACTGCTGCTTGTCTTCTGGCCTCCTTGGGACCTCTCTGGGCATGAAGCCCCAGAGCTGCCCTTGACCAAACCATGATCCTTAAGGGCTGGTTCTGTAATTTTAGTGGTCGTAGACTTTTGTAGTGAGCAGAATTCAGTAATTTCTCTATTTCAGGACATAAGGAGGGATAACTAGGAGAGAGACATAAATGCCCAAATGGGAAGTTAGGATTAAAAACTCCAAGTCCTTATTGAGAAAAGAGGACTAGATAATACAGTTGACAGGAGTCCTTATTGACTGATTGTTAACATTCTAGAAGTTTCCTTAGAAAAAGGATGGAAGACATTTTTTTCTAAGCAATTTTAAGACTAGCTCTTGAGCTGGGCTTGATGGCTCACGCCTGTAATCCCAGCACTTTGGGAGACAGAGGCAAGAGGATTGTCTAAGCCCAGGGATTCAAGACCAGCCTGGACAACTTAGCAAGTCCTCCTCTCTATAATTGAAAAAAAAAATTAGCCAGGTGTGGTGGCATCTGTGGTTCCAGCTCCTTGGAAGTCTGAGGCGGAAGGATCACCTGAGTCCAGCAAGTCAAGTCTGTGGTAGTTGTAAGCATGCCACTGCATTCCAGCCTGGGCAACAGAGTAAGACTCTGACTCAAAAAAAAAAAAGCCTTGAAACCCATCTGAATGAATTGAATATGTTGTAGTGTCTTGGGCTGTCTGATCATTATCTCTGAGGACTTATCTAGGTGCCTTGTTCTAGGATTCCAGGCATTACAACAGTCTGACGTTAATAGGATGCCTGTTTTTCCTTGTACAGCCAACCAGTTCCCAACTCTGGGAGTTACCACAATCCCAAAACCTCTCCTAACCACAGATTCAAAATCTGATCTCCTCTGACTCCACCTAGGAAAAGAAACTAATTTGTTATTATCCTCTATCAGTGATCCAGGCACTGCTAAACACTAACATGGTTTCATTTCATTTCAAATGTGCCTGGGTGACAGAGAGTAGATTGCATTTACAGTTGAGAAAATTAGAGCTCTTGGGGAATTGGGAGAGAGTAGACATCATATTAAGCACTGTGCTAAGCATTCTTCTCTTAATTCTTGGCCTTGTTTATCGTGTGGCATACACTGTACATGATCATA